TCAGAAGGGTTGGAGTGGGTGCGAGCATGATAGGGAAGTCGCTCTGGATGGACCAGAAGACGAGGGTGGGAGGACAGTTAGGGTTTGCTCGGCCTTGTGTGGAGCTCTCTGCTGACTATCCTTCCCCTCTTCCATTAGGATCTATCCTGATGAGGACCCTTCATTAGAAATCAGAATCGAATATAGCAATCTTCTGAAGGTTTGTCCAAAGTGTAGTGTCTTCGGGCACAATTGCGAGGAGGGACCTCAAAGGTGGATGATGCTGAGTTACAGGGCAAAGATGATGGGGAGATCGGTACAGTTGAGGAACTGCTCAGACAGGTGCAGGAGTCTGTAATCCAGTGTGTTATGGAAAGTCTGGCTGACGAGGTAATTGAGAAGGATTCGAATGGAGAGGTGCCAGAGCAGGTTCAAGATGTTGGGAACGTGGATTTTATTGCAGCAGAGGGTAGTCCAGAGGTGATTGTTGGGAAAATTGTCTCCCCTGCACCAAATGGGGGGGGGGGGGGGCGGGGGCTCGAGTTAGTTTTGCTGAGATAGTGAAGGGGTCATCAGCTGCTGCTGGGAGCCCTAACACTCCTCAGCAATTATCTGTTGGTGGTCAGTCATCTTCTGTGGAAGGGAGCTCGCTACCTCAGATGACTGCTCGGGCTAATCAGACTGGTTCTCCTTTTGCTATTCTGGATAAAGAGAATAGAACTCCTTTGATTGCTCCTAACAAGGGTAAAAGGATTTGGATTGAACCTCCTGAAGTGCAAGTAAACAAGAGAAAAGGAGGGAAATGTGGGGGGAGAGGAAAGGGTCATAAATGAAGATCCTCTCATGGAACACAAGAGGTTTTGTTGCGGAGAAGAAATATACTGCTTTACTAAATAAAGTAAATAAAGACATTTTAGATATTATAGCTATACTAGAGCCTCGGGTGAGTAGAGTGGAAGCAAATAAACTGAAGGGTAAGAGATTTGTTGGATGGGGTCAGGAAGTCTTCTTTAATTCTGAAGGTTTGGGCAAGATCAGGCTAGTGTGGCAACCGGAGATTCAGCTAACAATCTTAGACAGCTCTGATCAGTTTGTACATGCGTTGATCGGTGGTAAGGCACCATTCTTTGCTACATTTGTTTATGCATCAAATAGTGAGGGTCAAAGGGAAGCTCTATATGCTGCTGTGTCTAGATTCAAAGTAGTCAATTTTTCCTGGTTACTAGTTGGAGATTATAATGCTATTCGAGACCCGAGTGAAGGTTCTAATGCTCCTCAGTTCTCTTCTAGTATGAGGGCTTTTAATGACTGGTTAAGGGACATTGAAGTTGAAGAGCATAAGTCTACAGGGCCGTGGTTTACATGGCTTAACAAGAGGAATGGAGATCCTATTTCTCGAAGATTAGAAAGGGTTTTTGTTAATGTGGAGTGGTTGGATGTGATGAAACATAGTGTTGTGCAAACTCAGTCTCCAGGGGTTTCAGATCATTGTCCAGTGCTTATCCAAACTGAGTAGCCAATGAAATCTTTGCCTAAGCCCTTTAAATTCTTTAATTTTTGGCTAGAGCACCCAATGTTTGCAGAGCTGCTTAATCAGGCATGGAAGGAAGGGGTCTCAGGGTCTCCTCTGATAAGGATCTACAAAAATCTAAGGATTCTGAAAGGTATGCTGAAGAAGCTTAATAGGGAGGAATACTCTGACATTAGGGGAAGAGTGAAGGACAAGGAAAGAGAGTTGGAAACAATTCAATTAGCTGCCCTTTCTAATCCCTCTTAGGGGAGCTTTGAGTCTGAAGTCAGAGTCTCTAAGGAACTTTTTGAGATGCTTAAGGCTGAGGAAATTTTCCTTAGGCAGAAGTCGAGGGAGTTGTGGTTGAAGTTAGGAGACTAAAATTCAGGATATTTCACAGGTCTATGAGAACCAGACTTAAGAGAAATACTATAACCTCTCTTAAAGATGCTCAGGGCAACATAGTGGAGTCAGTTGAAGGCATGTGCAACGTGGCTATTGACTTTTATAAAAATCTGTTGGGAAGAGAAAATTCACATGTAGTTATTGAGTCTGCTGAGTTCTTTCAGGGTATTCTCAGGCATAAGCTCACTTCTGAGCAAGTCTCTTCTGTCTGTGTTCCTATCTCTGCTGCTGAAGTTAAAGAAATCATGTTTGGATTTCAAGGAGACAAGAGTCCTGGCCCAGATGGATTTAATGCTAGATTCTTTCAGGCTACTTGGGATGTTGTTGGAGCAGAAATCACAAAAGCTATTCAGTCCTGTTTTCTGACAGGGGTTCTTCCTAGAGAGGCAAATGCTACAATTTTAGCTCTGATTCCTAAAATTCAGAATCCTGATGATATGAAGTTCTTCAGGCCAATCTCTTGTTGCAATATTATTTACAAATGTATTTCTAAGATTGTGGCAAATAGGTTCAGTCCTCTTCTCCCTTTTATTATCAGTAAAAATCAGACAGCTTTTGTGAAGGGGAGGGTTATTGGTGAGAATATCCTATTAGCTCATGAGTTAGTGCATAAGTATGCTAGAAAAAATGTTTCTACTAGATCTGCACTTAAAATTGACCTCATGAAAGCATTCGATTCAGTGAATTGGCAGTTTCTTTATGTGGTGTTGGAAGCTATGGGTGTTCCATTACAGTTTATAAGCTGGATCAGGATGTGTGTCTCTAGTCCCATGCTTAGCATTGCTTTTAATGGGGGACTGGTGGGTTACTTCCCTGATAAGCAAGGTCTGAGGCAGGGGGATCCCCTTTCCCCATATCTATTTGCAGTAGCCATGGAGGTCTTCTCATGTCTTTTAGATTTGGAAGCTGCAAGAGGTAGATTCCCCTATCACCCTATGTATAAGAGAATAGGCTTGACTCATTTATGCTTTGCTGACGATTTGTTAGTATTCTCTGATGGGTCTAACTATGGGATTCATAGGGTTCAGAGGGTCCTGCATGAGTTTCACAAGCTATCATGTCTTCAGTCTAATCCAAGCAAGTGTGAGATATTTTTTGGAGGATTGGAAAAGGGGGAGATGGTAGAAAGAGCTAATAGATATGGGTATCAACTTGGGGGTTCCCTGTTAGATATCTTGGGGTTCCTCTTGTGGCTGGTAAGTTGATAATAAATGCCTGCAAGCCACTTATAGATAAAATCACTAAAAGGGTGCAGGGTTGGAAGGCAAAGTCCCTGAGCTATGCAGGTAGAGTTGAATTACTCGGGTCTGTTCTTTATAGCATGACACAATACTGGATGAGTGTGTTTATGCTTCCCAAAGCTGTTGTTCAGGAGGTTGAGAGAATCTGTGGCAATTTTCTCTGGTCAGTGGGGCCTGGTCTCAAACTTAGAGCTAAGATGGCATGGAAGTACTTGGCAATTCCAAAGAAAGAGGGAGGGCAGGGCCTAAGGGACCGGGTTTCCTGGAACTATGCTTGTGTTTACAGGCAGATATGGGCGGTTATGATGCAGCAAGGATCACTGTGGGTTGCTTGGATCAAGGCCTATAAACTGAAAGGAAGGGATTTCTGGCATGTCAATATAAGTGGTTCATGGAACTGGGGGAAGTTGTTGAGAATCGGAAACAAATTTCCTAATATGTTTTGTTGGAAGGAGAGAGTGTTGCACTGGGACGATAACCAATGAAGAGATACTCCATCAAGATGATTTGGGAGTCTGTTAGAGCAAGACATAGCAGAGTAGGCTAGTACAAGCTCCTTTGGAAAGGGATTTCTATCTCGAGGAATAGATTTCTTGTGTGGCTTGTTATTCACAATAAAATCCAAACTAAAGAAAAGATGAAGAAGTGGGAATTTGTAGGTTCTGATCATTGCTATTTATGTGATTAGGCAGGAGAGACAAGGGACCACTTGTTCTCTATCTGCCCTTACTACACTGTTGTTCATCAGCAGCTGCTGGGGGGTCTTCTCTCTTTCATCCCTCAGAGCTGGGAGGAGAACCTTAGCTGGGCTACAAGAAAGTTTGGTAATAAATCTGTGGTTGCAATGAATGGCAGATTGATTTGGCAGGCAATGGTGAGTCACGTGTGGAGAGAGCGATGCATGAGGGCTTTTGGTGATCAGAAGCGGTCTTCGGAGGATTTGATTCGGATTATTAAGAGCGAAGTTTGTGTTTTGGTGCAGGACCCTACATAGTTGGAGACTTTCTGGTCTGCTGGTTCTGGTTCTTCAGATCTCTTACCCCCCGAGTTTATAGATTCTTAGAGATAGAGGGCTGGTTTTGTTTGGTTTGACTGTTTTATAGGTAAAGAGTTTTGGTTTGTTTCCTCTTTCTGTTTCCATTTCCCCTAGCTGGCAAGTGTGTTGCCAGCACCGCTTTTGATGGAACGAAGTAAATCGATTCATAAAAAAAAGATTAATGACCGAGGGAGACACCTTAATTCATGGTTTTCATGACTGGGAATATACACTTTCGACAACGAGTGACACCTCCAATAATTTAAGAGGATCATGTCCTGGGTTAAAATCTAAAAGGCATCAAACATTATGATCATTTCCATCATCTTTTCCTCCAGGGAGAATAAAAGAGAAGAAAAATGATATTGGATAAGGATATAAAGTAAGATTCCTTTGAAAATTAATAAAACTAGCGTGGGCCCGACCATTTGGCTGGAAAAATGTGAGGTATGAAATTTGATAATTTAATGGGGTGTATAGCTGTTGGGGTAGGCGCTCCCAGCGCGTTTGGCACGCTCACTCCCCACTCGCCGCTCAACGATTCCAGCTCTCGCCGCCCAAGGAGTTCCTTGGGAGACGGGCACCTGCTCTGACTGACAAGTCACCCCCTTTTCCTACCTAACATGTAACCACTATAAATAGAGCATTAACTCCACTAAGAAAAGGGTTCGCATTCTCTCTAAAAAGTCTCTCTCTACAATATCAGCTAAACGCTCTCCTCCCTGTGTAAAACGACATCTCCCTACACTTTACTCTGTGCAGAACTCCTACCTCCCAGCGCTGCATAAACAATTGGCACCCACCGTGGGGCATGATGTCGAGAAGCAATATGGCCGGAGAGCCGCAAGGCACCCCCCAAGACACCCAAGAACGCGCGGGAGTCGACACCACCCCGCTCAAATCCACCACTAGCCAAAGGCTCTACGACACAACCAACGAACCAGACGCGATAACCCGGTTTCGCGAAACACAAAACCTGGACGCCGTCCTGATAGAGGAGGAGGACCTCTCTCCCAAAGAGATGCGCCTACGCATGGAACAGCAAAACAAGGTGATTACCAACATACATGCCCAAATGGGCCAGATGATGGACTTGATGACGGCGTAGGCCAATCTTCGCGCTCACGCTCGCCGGCTCCAAGAGCCGCTCCGACCGCAGCTAGCCGCGGAAGACATCCAGCACGCCGAACGGGCGCCGCGCCCAGACCTCGACTACCTGGAACAACACCTGTCTCCAACATATCGCGCTCTTCCGCGAGTCACGTTGCACCAACTGTTGTGCCCCGAAATCATGGCGGAACAAATGCCCGGGAACCCCCTACCCTCCCCACCTACAACAGAACAACTGAGCCGGAAGACCACGTGAGCGCGTTTTGCTTGCGTATGCAGCTCCAGACGTGCTCTAACGCTGCAATGTGCAGAACCTTTCCTTCTACTTTTGCGGGGATATGCTTCGACTGGTACAACCGCCTCCCGAACGGGATCATTCGGACGTTCGAGGAGTTCATTCTCCTCTTCACCACCAAGTTCGCATCGCAGAAGCGAAGGCCGTTGCTTACAGTAGCCCTAGTAGACGTGAAGCAGAAGGAGGCGGAGAGCCTTAGGGCGTTTTATTCCCGATGGTCCAGGGTGGCCATGGCGGTTCGGGATCTCACCCCGGAAAACGGGGCACGGCATCTCATGGATTCCACCATCAACCCCTAGCTAAGACGGTCGTTGGCCAAACGACCGGTCACCTCATCCTCAGAACTCGAATCCAAGGTGGAGAAGGCAATCACCCTTGAAGAAACTTTGGGAGCAGGATCTGTACGGAATCCACTGCCACTAAGCGCTTACCATGGGGGACCCAACAAGGCCCAAGACCACCCCCCACCCGCGGAACAATTCAGAAGAAGGTCGTCGGAGAAGAACAGAAACGACCGCAACTACACACCTCTCAAAGACTCCGTGCGGAATATCTTCCACGTCATCCGTGAGAGGGGCTATCGTATCAACTGGCTAGGGCCCCAATGGCAACCTGAGAACAGGCGTGACCACAAGAAGTTCTGCGAATTTCATCGGGAAACGGGGCACATGACGGAGCACTGTTACGTGCTCCGGTCAGATATCGAGGCTCTCATCCGCCGGGGGCATTTATCCGAATACATCCAAGAAGAGCGAAGGGTGCCAGAGTCCAGGGCTCCCCAACCGCCACCGGCGAAATACGATGAGAAAACGGACGAACTCCTGGTGCGGAAGGAGATCGGGGTGGTTACAGTCGAGGGCGCACTTTCCAAGAGAAAAACCAAAAGGCAGAGAGCAGTCGACCTAGTTGAGGCCGAAACCAATCAAGTCGCGCTCATCACTTTCGGCCTCGATGAGTATCCAGATGGAGTCCCATCGGAAGAGCCTTTGCTCATCACCGCCCTAATAGCCGCCTATAAGATTCACCGGTTGCTCGTGGACAGCGGTAGCGCGGCATACATACTTTTCAAGAGCACCCTCGACCAGATGGAAATAGACCCTCTGATGTTCCGCCGCACCGAAGAAAGCCTCGTTGGATTCTCGGGATCGCGAGTCCCCGTCATCGGATCCATAATCCTGCCAGTAGTCGTGGGTGACCAAGCACAAAGATCTACGGAGAACATCGAGTTCACCATCGTAGACTGCCAGTCCCCTCATAACGCCATCCTTGGGCGCCCTTTCCTTGCCAAGTTCCGCGCTCTTCCGTCAACATGCCATCAGCTTATGAAGTTTCCAACCTCGAAGGGCGTCGGATATACAGTAGGGGAGCACAGGGAAATAGAAGTGAGCAAAGAGGAGGAGCAAGGGCGCGAAGTGCACAAGAGAACCAACATTGTGGACACACGCGCTGAGGAAGAACCGCGGCCGCCCCCCGCCGACTCTGATTTCGGGATGCCACTCAATCCCAGCAAGTGTGCGTATCGACGCACGTCCCCACTGAAATGCTCGAACCCCTTATCCTTCTGCTGAGGCAATACAAAGAACTCTTTGCCTGGAGCACCCAAGATATGCCCGGGATCAGAAGGGAAACCGCGGAACACCGCCTCTCCGTTCCCGAGGGAGCAGAACCGGTACAACAAGGCAGGCAGTCGTTCAAGGGAGAAAAGCTGAAAGCGATCAAGGAGGAGGTGGCGCGCCTACTGGAAGCGGGGTTGATAAGGGCCATCCAGTACCCGCGATGGCTGTCAAATGTTGTTCTCGTGAAGAAAGCTTCAGGGGCATGGCGGATATGCGTGGACTACACGACGATCAATAAAGTGTGCCCGAATGATCCATACCCATTGCCGCGAATTGACTTGTTGGTAGACGCCACGTCCAATCACGACATGCTGTCATTCCTCGACATGTTCTCCGGGTACCACCAAATCCCGATGAGTAAGGAGGACGAGGAGAAGACTGCCTTTATGACCCCCTTCGGCAACTTTTGCTTCGTCGGGATGCCATTCGGTCTAAAGAACGCTGGAGCCACCTATCAGCGCTTGATCAACATGGCTTTCGACAAGCAAATAGGCCGCAACATGGAAGCATATGTGGACGACCTGATCGTCAAGTCAAAGCGCGGGGCTACCCATCTCGACGATCTCCGCGAAACCTTTGAGACCCTTCGGCTGCATGGGCTCCGTCTCAACCTGCTCAAATGCGTGTTTGGGGCGGAGGCTGGGAAGTTCCTGGGTTACATCATTACGCGGAGGGGGATCAAAGCAGATCCCAAGCAGATGGCCGCGATACGACAGCTGAAATCACCGCGCACATCCCTCGATGTCCAATCTGTAGCTGGGAAGTTGGCGGCACTAGGGCGTTTCATCCCAAGATCTGCGGACAAATGCACCCCTTTCTTTCAAACCCTGAAGGCGGGGGCAAAATTCCAGTGGAACGCAGCATGCGAAGCCGCGTTTGAACAACTTAAAACTTATCTTGTATCACCCCCTGTCTTAGTCGCTCCACAACGAAATGAAGTGTTGTTTCTCTACATCGCCATCTCAATACGCGCAGTCAGCGCCGTCTTAATCTCTAGAAAGAATGGCAAGGAAGAAAGGGTCGTGTATTACACTTCATGAACCCTCACAAACCCTGAAACGCGGTACTCCCCGGTCGAAAAAGCGCCACTCGCGCTGGTCTCAGCCTCTCAAAAGCTGCGCCCCTACTTCCGGACCCACCCGATCACAGTCCTAACCAACCTTCCGCTGCGCAAGATACTAAGCTTGATGGAAGTGTCGGGGAGATTAACCAAATGGGCGGTCGAACTCTCGGAGTACGACATCCAATACGCGCCAAGATCGGCCGTCAAAAGGCAAATACTAGCTGATTTCATCGCTGAAGGGGTTGTGCTCGACCCATCCCCACCAGGGACCTGGGAAATACACGTAGACGGGGCAGCCAGCAAGCACGGAGCGGGAGCAGGGGTCGTCATATGTACCCCCTTGGGGGCCATGCACGAGATAGCAGTGCGCTTCCGAGAGTTGAAAACAAATAACGCAGCTGAGTATGAGGCCGTCTTAGCGGGGCTTCGCGCGACGAGTGACCTTGGTGCACGCACGCTGAGAGTTCTTTCTGACTCGGCCTTTGTAGTGAATCAGCTCAACGGGGCGTTTGACGCGAAAGAAGAATTTCTCGCGCAGTATGTCTAGAGGATACAACAGATGGCGCAGCAATTCCTGTCGGTGGAGTACGTTCACATTCCGAGGGAAGAGAACCTCTACGCAGACGCATTGTCAAAGCTCGCGACCGCCACTGATTTCGAGGAATCGCGCATGGTAACCGTGCAAAGGAGAGAGGACCCGACGCCCATCTCACCGATCTAAACCAAGTCATGGCGATCGACGGTCTTGAGGAGGGACCGGATTGGCGAACGCCAATCATCGAATATCTGAACAGCAGAAAGGTACCAGACGACCCGAAAGCTGCCTGGGCGCTGAGACAAAAGTCAGCCCGTTGCACGATGATCGGACAACAGCTGTATCGGCGCTCCCACACTGGAACATATCTCAGGTGCTTAGGCGAAGCGGAGGCCAGAATGGCAATCCAGGAAACCCACGAGGGCATATGCGCAATCCATCACGGGTCGAGAAGCCTCGAACGAACAATGCTATTGCGGGGATACTACTGGCCTCGGATCAAGAAGGACACTAGAGATTTCGTCGACCGGTGCCACAAATGCCAGATACACTCAAGACTCAACCACCTGCCGACGGCCGAGCTCCAATCCAACATAAGTCCGTGGCCTTTCACACAGTGGGCAGTAGATCTCCTCGGCCCTTTCCCCACCGCGAAAGGCAAACGGAAATATCTCATTGTCGCCGTCGACTACTTCACCAAGTGGATCGAGGCAGAACCATTAGCGTCCATTAAAGTCCAGCAGGTAACGCGATTCCTTACTCAAAACATACTGGCAAGGTTCGGCACGCCGCAGTGCTTCATCTTCAACCACGAGACTCAATTCGATTGCGCAGAAGTGATTGATCTATGCGATCAGGTAGGTACCGTAGCGTGCTTCGCCTCCGTTGCCTATCCTCAGGCCAACAGCCAAGCCGAGGCGGCCAATAAAACAATTCTGCATGGGCTTCACACCAGGCTAGACGACGCCAAAGGAAATTGGTCGGAAGAGCTACACAGCGTACTATGGGCGCATCAGACAACGTACAAAACCGCGACGGGAGACACTCCATTCGCCCTTACGTACGGAACAGAGGCGGTAATCCCGATCGAGATCAACGTCCCAATAGTCCGAGTGGAGTTGTAAAATGAAGAGGACAACCTAACGGCACGACAGTTGGATCTGGACCTGGCAACGGAACGACGAAAGCAAGCTGCCATATGCTTAGCGGCAGGGAAGGCACAAGTGGCGAAGTACTACAACGCAAAGTTGCGTCCGCACGGTTTGCAGCAGGGAGACCAAGTGCTCAAGCGGAAATTCAGGCCAGACAGAAAACACAAAAAATTAGCGGCGCCATGGGAGGGCCCCTACCAAATTCGCGAGGTGGTCGGCGCGAACACATTCAAACTAGTTGAGTTGAGCGGAACGAAGGTCCTGAGAACATGGAACGCACAGAATCTTCGCCTGTATCGCCCCATTCTACCCTTGTAACTCAGTTGTAACGTGCTAGACTATGCATTATGTATTCCTGTGTATTATGAAATTATTACGAGCGCGAATCCGCCTCTTTAACCTCTTGCGACGGCTATGACTAACTACGAGTGCGAATTCGCCTCTCCTAAAATCGCAACAAGACATCCCCAAAAAGTCTGTAAACTTGAAAAGGAGAAACAGACAAAGCGCTATTGAAATAGAATCTCGAAGCATAGCCGAACAGATACGCGCACTTATCAAAAGGACATTATGTTTGATCAAACGTACTAAGCCTTCATTGATAAAATCCTAAAAAAAAAAGACTGATCACACTCGAAAACGGGAGAAGCCTAAACTAGTCAGGCCGAGTCTGGTTGGCTGCTAGCGCCGATTGCCCCTTCTTCTTTAGTCTCGCTCTCAGAATCCGCGACGAGCGGCTCCTTGTCTGCAAAGAAGCGCTGAACGTGACGCACCATGTCTTTGGTGTTCCATCGACAACTAGGGTTGTCGGGCCTCACCTTCTTTTGCACCGCCACTATGGTGCGGAACATACAATCGGCTAGTTGCTGCTTGAAAGCAACCGACTTCTTGAAAGCTCCAACAGCCTCCGTCGCGATTGACGTCTTGGCCTCCTCGAGCTCTTCAATCTTCTTCTTCAGCTCATCCTTCTCAGCCTTGGCCTTCTCCCGATTTGCGTCTAGCTCATCGATGAAAGTCTTCCTCTCCTCCTCAAAATCCTTCTCCAGCTCAGCACGAATCGCGGCCCTCTCTTCCAGCCGCACCTTCTCCCGTTTGGCTGCCAACGCGTCCTCGCACTTCTCCTTGGCATCCGCGAACCTTTTCTTCGCACTAGTCACCCGCCCTTAGAGCTGCACAACTCGAGCCTGTTCCAAGCCCAGTCGTGCCATGGTCTCGCCTCTGTCCTTTTGCACGCGATAACACGCCAACAAAGACTACAGAAAGACAACCAGTTAGAATCTACCGCGAAGGGTAAAAGAGGAACACCCCGCACAAGAACTTAGAGAAAAACAATAATAGTACCTGAAAATGGGCGAGTGCCAGATCAGCGAAAGGATCACTATTCTCCATCCGCTCAGGCAAGCTAAGCACGCCGCCGATGGCCCTAAGGCCGAGCTGTGCAGCCGAGAGAGTCTGAGCGGCCGCGGCAGGGAGGCGCAGGTCGCGATATTGCAATGCTGACGCTTCCTGAAAGACCACCATGTCCGGCAAGGTCTGCTGCGCCGGACGGGAACTCGAGCTCCCACCGCTCTCCCCTATCGGAACGGGGTGGCCGCTTCGTGGAAACCTCAGGACGCGCTTCCACTCGGCCCACGGGGTCAGCGCGGGTGACCTTCACGGGCTGAGGATTGCGATCAGTGCCGCCGGCCTTCCGCTTCCGTGCAGGAGGGTCCTCGGTAACCGTTATCATGGAGGCGACAGTGTTGTAATCCACTCCTACAACAAAGAGGCGTAAGGATCCGATTAATACAGGAGGAAATATATGAAACACGGAAAAATACTAATCATCAACAAAAAGCTCGCTAAGAACGGCCTCGCGCGCACCCTTCTCATGAAGATTAACCCGCTCCAGCAGCAACAAGTCGTGGTGCTTTTGAAGAAGCGGATACTTCCCCAAATTTGACTCAAAGTCCTTCACATGCCCATTCGACCAGGTGGAAGGAAACTATACGGGTACGGCGAGATGACCTCGCCTAGAACTGGACGAATATAGAAGAACTTCTCGAACCAATTCTTATCCAGCTTTGGTGACCCGTAAACATACCCTCCGGGCTGGTTATCGCGCCTCTTAATGGACAGCCCGTTTCCCCTCTTAGACCATCTACAATGTGGGTGGGGGGAAATGTGGGAAAAGAGGGAAAAGTGGGAAAATTGGCTGGTTTGGTCACAGTGTGGCGGTGGGAAAAGTGGGTAATCAGTTTAGTACTTTTTTGTTAAAATCAATCTATAGTTGATTTTGTCACTTTTTTCATATAATGATCATTATTATTACGTACTTAGTGATAATAAATTAATACGAACATTTCGATATATTTTTTTTTTAATTTGGAAATATTTTTTTTCATCACTAATTAAGTATGACATCATTAATTTGGAAAAATGGTCGTTGAAAAATATGGCCGTTAAACGTGACCGTTGCAAAATATGGCTGTTGGTTAAATCTGTCCGTTGGGGACAAAAACACAACTTTCCAAACAAGCTTTTGCTAAAATCAGGAAAAAAAAATAAAAAAAGAAAAGAAAGGGTTGTCCTTTCCCATCCTCCACTTCCCCCCACCATTTGTCTCATCTGGTGGGTTTTCCCACCCTCTAAACCCACAAAACCCATTTAATTCCCTATTCCCCCCCACATTGTGGTCACATTTCCCCTTTTTCCCACAAAACCAACCCACATTGTGGATGGTCTTAGGGCCGGTCAGCTGAGGAACCTTCAGTTTGTAGATATGGCGGAACAAGCCGTAAGTAGGAAGCAAATTCTGCTGTTTGCACATGGCTCGCAGAGCGGAGGAGTGGAAAATAATTGAAGGCGAGAATCGCGCGAGCGAGCACTTGACCAAACTGTACAGATGACAGAGTAGAGGTTCAATGGGGAACTTGAACCCCATGCGCCAATATTCTGTGTAGACGCCGAACCATTCCTCGGGACAATTACCAACGCGACTGAACTCGGACGGTACCGCGTACTGCCAGTTGGTCGGCAAACTAGGACCGTGCACGTGCATCTCCACATCTTCGCGGCTGAGAATAGAGGAATGATCGGGACCTCGGACCAAGTGCTCTAAAGGAACCGCGTCGTCAGGGAACATATCCGCCCAACCAATTATGTTGTACTCCGCACCCAAACCTCGTGCGCCGCGACGCGCAAAGGCCTTCGTGACTCGGGCATGGGCGGATGGACCGTGTCAACCTCTACGTCTGCCTCAGACAGAGTAAGAGAGCTGTCCGTCTCTATCTCGCAGGCCGCCGCATTTTCATCCACGGCTAACTCTTGGCCGGAGGACTCCGCCACCTCCGGCTCCTTTCCTTCCCTCCGGGGCGCACCGGAATCCACATCTCGAAGACCACCGTCCCGGAGACTCTCTCCACCACCGCTGCGGCCGACCAAGCCGTCGGAAGAGCTGCGGAGGAACTCACTACCTCCGGCAGGATCAAACCCAGGAGTGCTGGGTAGGGACGAAGCCTCTACTCCTAAATCTACATTCCTAACATCTACATGAGATTCGGAATGGTCATTACCTCCATCGTCGATCTCGATCACGGTCTGATCGCCAGCTTTTGCAGAAGACATGTTGAGGGAAGAGAGCAGCAATTTGGGGACGATGAGCGAAGTCAAAGACGAAGCGAACAAAATAAGAGAAGAAAGAAGCTCGGTGAGTGAAAAACACTCCACCCCACCCCTTTTTAGGCCTGTCAAACCGCCAAGACAGCCAATCGACACGCGACCCTTCGAAAACCACGCCGGGACGTCACGTCAGTTTTGAAATTTGAATTTCAAATCCACCGCAAAAAAAGCAGCCTCAACCCCGCCACGTGGCCAAGACAAGTAACCGACCCCACGTCTCCCAACGTGGCGTCGACTGGGGGGCAACCCTACCCCATCATTGAAGTTTAATACAAAACCGGGGGGCAACCCCGCCCCACCATGGTGGTTCTAACCCAATCGCGATCGCGATACGCAGAAGAAGCGCGAAGTTTAATACCAAACCGGGGGGCAACCCTGAACCCCAACACGGTAGTTTTAACCCAACCACAACCGCGACTAAACCGGGGGCAACCCCCCGCCATTGTATTTCTAATCCAATCGTAACCACAGCGCGCAAAGGAAGCGCTCAATCGCGGGAAAGAACCGCGGAAAGATCTCGACAGCCAGAGGTCAACACAACCGCGCCAAACAGGCTAAGGCAGCCAAGCGGGGCATCAATGCAACCACGACAAAGGAGCGGTTACAAACCCAGCGCAGCCCAACAGCGGAATACAACATCCAAAGCACGTAAAGAAGGGCGCATGACCAGACGACGCGCGACAAGGGACAAGTCAGAGGCAGGAGGCAACCACAACTTACCTCCTGCTGGGGGGCAATTGTTGGGGTAGGCGCTCCCAGCGCGTTTGGCACGCTCACTCCCCACTCGCCGCTCAACGATTCCAGATCTCGCCGCCCAAGGAGTTCCTCGGGAGACGGGCACCTGCTCTGACAGACAAGTCACGTCACCCCCTTTTCCTACCTAACATGTAACCACTATAAATAGAGCATTAACTCCACTAAGAAAAGGGTTCGCATTCTCTCTAAAAAGTCTCTCTCTCTACAATATAAGCTAAACGCTCTTCTCCCTGTGTAAAACGACATCTCCCCACACTTTACTCTGTGCAGAACTCCTACCCCCCAGACCTGCATAAACAATAGCTTATTGTTGTATAGTTTTTTTTTGGGAAACACGTGATAAAAATAGTTAATTTTAGTAGGAAAGAGACATGAATGATGCAACGAATCAAAAATCATCCTTATGAACCAAAATCAAGTACCTGTTACCTTGTGAAACAATATTGTTTCTGGTAATATGATGAGGTGGAGTAAGTTCTATAGAAACCGAATTCCAGAAAATCGAATAAAAAACCGCCTATCCTGCCGGTTTTCGGGAAATGAGCATCTCACAATCGTTGCTAGCTTTTACTCGGCCCGTTGGCCGATTAATTTGCTTTATAAAACTTTCATCTTGTCATCATTGTGTTTTATGGTTTTTTACCAAGCCATGATAAAATCTAAAGAAATCAAGAATGAACAACACGATTTGGGATAGGAACCACCGTTCCTGTATCCCTAGAAAATGGTGGTAAACACGGAATCACCTGCCAAACTGGTTTGGATTGAGATTTTTATCGGGTATCAGGGAACCATGTGATTCAGCCTGTTTGACCGACTCATGCCAAACTCTAATTATTCTTTACTTTTAAACTTTCTATTTGAAAATAAAAAATAATGAAAGAAAAGAGATGACTGCAATTCTCCATTTGCACATCACTGATTCGGGAATAAAACTATAGAATTTCGAAAGGATACTGAAAATGTTTAGGATCATTTTAATGTTCAAAATAACCAAATAGATCATTCTGGTAGTTTTTTACTAACAAATACCAAACGATTCCCTATAATATACACTATAATTTAATCATTATGATATCAAATAATTACATAATATATATTTAAAATGATAAAAATTGGACTAATTGGGTTGGTCGAGGTTGAACCATTGAATAAATTTAAAATACATTATATTTTAGCCACTAAGATATATAATAATAGCATAATATGTATTATGCTAGAGAAAATAGCTTGTTTTAGAATGACAAACTCATGATGTTCATTTGTTTAACTTGATGGGCAAATCCCGTGTAAGTCTGGCCCATTCAACTCTTTTATTTTATTATAAGCGGTTAGCCCATTCGAATTCATGCATTAGTTTCTTATTAAAGTTCTTTCTTTTTAGCAATAAAAAGGAGTATTGTTTTTGCCTTTTCATATATATTTTACCACCACGGAGAAATAAAAGGACTTAAAGAAAAAAATTGACACTCCTTGACTCGTTTAAATCCGCATGTGTACGGTAAGTGGCCCGTTCCACAGAGGAAAAAATAAAATTGACACTCCTTATTCTACCCTTCCTACAAACGCTCCTAGAGCAGGGAATTTGAAATGAGGGAATAGTTTTTTCCTTTCTGCGATTATATGTTTTTAATTTAAATAGATACAACAAATGTACTTAGTGTGATTGGTTATGATCTTTGCTTTTCTTTAAAGTGGTCATGGTTTGAATCCTAGTAAGTGTCTTTTTAATGAATAAAAAAAAAGTAATTGTGAAGACCAAAATGTCCTTCCTACTTTCACTCTGGATGCAGGAAATTTGAAATGACGCTTCACGTTTTCTCATTTGGCTTTTATTTATTGTGTAGATATAGTAATAAACTGTTTTTTTTTTTTGTTTACCGTGAATATAGTAGTTGACAAAGGCACATGGTTTTCATATAAATTGTAAGCCCTAATATGTACCCGGGATGAGGAGAAATAATTATAAGTTATGGGTGACTTAATTATTAGGACTTTGCTACAGTGACATGCATGTCACGGTGACATGCACTTTTCGGTCGAACTCATATAGGATTAGGACTTTGCTACAGTGACATGCATGTTACGGTGACATGCACTTTTCGGTCGAACTCATATAGGATTAGGTCGACCTAATTTGTTGTTTTAGTGTAAAGACAGTTTCATGGTGACTACTTTGGAGATTCATATCTTACAATTGGCTAGATGAAAATTGGAGATTAAAGGCTTGTTTTGAAGCTGAAGTATCCCTATACACATTAAAGTACTTGGGAGCTAAATAGAAAGTCCAAAAGAGCATTTTTGAACCTGACCAAAAGGCTATGGCAAAACTGGAAAACAACCTGAAAATGGCTAATTCTGGCAACGTGTTTGTCAAGTCTACTTGGAGCTCAATTTGAGAAGCATGGATGCGAGTCAAGTCCAGGGGCCTCTACCACGTTAAATTACGTATTTTATTATACAAAGGCAAGGCTTGGATGAAAGATTGAATATCTTTAAGGCTTCAAACAAAAGGCTCGAAGTTGCTACGAAGGCTGTTTTTCTGGCAGCTTGCTTGTGCTCGAAGTCTGCCAGAAAAACAGCCTTTGTAGCAACTTCGACCCTTTTGTTTGAAGCCTTACAGATATCCAATCTTTCATCCAATGCCTTGAATTTGTATAAAAACATACCTAATTTAACGTGGTAGAGGCTCCTGGACTCGACTCGCATTCATGCTTCTCGAATTGAGCTCCAAAATAGGCTTCACAAACACGTTTCCAGACTTAAGCCATTTCCAGGCAGTTTCCCAGACTGAAACAACAAATTAGGTCGACCTGGTCCTATATGAGGTCGACCGAATCCTAAATGAGGTCGACCTAATCCTAACTGAGGTCGACCGGAAAGTGCAAGTCACCGTGACTTGCATGTCACCGTAGGCACACCCTAATTATTAACATGATAGTTAAAAGTTTCAATACCTTATTTTGGTCTGAACTATAACCTTATAATCAACTTTGACCCGTGTTTTCAGAAATTAACATGCTGACCTCAACTAGGCAACATATAGACTCAATTGGCCCGACACATGGTTTGACCGTCAATTTGGGGTCAACACCGTTGACCGTTAATCAACACGCCATGTCATTGCCTCGACAGCCTAAAAATAATTAAAAAATTCAAATTATTTTTCTAATTTCTATTATTTATCATTGTAAAATTAACCAAAATATAAAATAATATTTTTTGTAATTGGAAAATGATAAATTTTATAAATTAACCAAAAATTGTCAAATTATTTTAAATTTCTTAGATTTTTTTGGTTGATTTGAAAATTATTAATAATAGAAATTAGGAAAATAATTTGAATTTGAATTTTTTCAATGATATTTTGACTGACGAAGCAATGACATGGCGTGTTGACTGTCCAAATAGACAGTCAAATCATGTATAGGGCCAATGGAGTCTATATGCTGCATAGTTGAGGCCATGATGTTAATTTCTGAAACCATGAGACAAAGTTGATTATATTGTCATAGTTCGGGCCAAAACAAGGTATTAACCCTAGTTAAAAAGAAGCATTATCTTATATTTAAGCACCTAGGTATTAGGCAATATCTAAAGTGCTTCGATTAGGGGTTCCACAACAAGTTAGACATTCAAAACGTTTGAATGAAGTAGAGTAATATCTAGGTGTCGCCTATACATATTTAGGAAAAGCTGGACAATCAATATCAAAGGGGAACTTAACATCATCTATATCTCACTCATTTCTCAATATTTTTAATAAATCAAGAACTTTATGAGCTATTGAACTATGATTCTACGAACATGTGAGCTATTTTTCTTATTATTAAGTGTTAATTAAGTTATTAATAAATTGAACTAAAGTGGAGAAGTATTGTAAAACTACTATTATATTAATCATATGGTACAAACGGCTATTTTAGCTTCCAACACCTAGGCATGCTTAAGCAATGCCTAAGCAAACTAAGCATTAGGCAAGGCCCGAACTCCTGCCTTATGGTTAAGACTTTCTTGAACCTTAAATAAAGATATGGAGTTGACATATTATATTTATGAATTTGATTTTATGAGCATATTATAAATATCTTAAATGTTACCGGTCGAATTATAAACATAAATCACATAATTTTATAAATTTTTCAAATATTTTGTGTCAAGATTATCATGTCGTCAAATCATCATCAATA